GATTCATTGAAATGGATCTTCTTGGTCTGTCTTTTTTTGGTTTTCAATTTCATCAAGTCATAATTTACACACATTAAAGATTTACTGTGGTCTTCTAGGGTATATTAGTTTAAAAATACCTTGATGACATATTATTTTACAAGCTTATTTCTGATCAATAAAATTCTTTAAAGTTTTATTCATAAGTTACTCTAAACAGGAGCTACAATCTTGATCCTTTTTTCAAAATTTCCTCTGTGGAGTCTATGCCATAAATGCAGAAGATAACAATGAGCAATGCAAAACTAGACATCACCATGTCCTAAAAGGAGATTGATCAAGAGACAAATACTACACAAAACTAGACATCACCATGTCCAAAAAAGGAGAATGATCAAGAGACAAATACTACACAAAACTAGACATCACCATGTCCAAAAAGGAGAATGATCAAGAGACAAATACTACACAAAACTAGACATCACCATGTCCAATAAGGAGAATGATCAAGAGACAAATACTACACAAAACTAGACATCACCATGTCCAAAAAGGAGAATGATCAAGAGACAAATACTACACAAAACTAGACATCACCATGTCCAAAAAGGAGAATGATCAAGAGACAAATACTACACAAAACTAGACATCACCATGTCCAAAAAGAAGAATGATCAAGAGACAAATACTACACAAAATAAATGTGGAATGTGTCCATGGATCACAGATAATGCCCCCGCTTGCATATCATATAAAGATATAAAGGGACATAACTGAAGAACGGTAAAAGTGACGCTACCCAAATTTGTACTTGATCTGAGTTTTGTGGTAATAAGCATTGTGTATAAGTTTCATAATATTTGGCTGAGGCAAACTAAAGTTAGAGAACGGAAACGAAAAATTCAGCAATTTTTATGTTTATAAAGGGGCATAACTCAAGAACGGTAAAAGTGACACCAACCAATTTCAAACTTGATCTGTATTGAGTGGTTATAAGCATTGTTAAGAAGTTTCATAACATTTGGTTGAGGCAAACTAAAGTTAGAGAACAGAAACGAAAAATTCAGCAATTTTTATGTTTATAATGGGGCATAACTCAAGAACAGTAAAAGTGACGCCACCCAATTTTGAATTTGATCTGTATTGAGTGGTTATAAGCATTGTGTATAAGTTTCATAACATTTGGTTGAGGCAAAAAAAAGTTAGAAAACAGAAACAAAATATTCAGCAATTTTTATGATGTTTATAAAGCGGCATAACTCAAGAACCGTTATCGTGACGGCACCCAATTTCAAACTTGATCTGTGTTTTGTGGTAATAAGCATTGTGTATAAGTTTCATAACATTTGGTTGAGGCAAACTAAAGTTAGAGAACTGAAACCAACTTTGGGACATACATACGTACGTACAGACAGACAAGGGTAAAACTTAATGCCCCCTCTGATATGGCAGGGGCATAAAAACTACACATTCAGCAACATGACAAATTGCTTTTTGACATACCTAGGAACAGGAGAATACAGGTTGTGACTTTTATTTTCACTTTTTATATAATAATCGTACATATTTGAATATATTTTGTATCATTGCTACCACAGGTACATGCACCAAAAGGTTTCTACATTTGTAACTTTCATATGTGCAAGTACTTGCTATATTGGAGTTTATCTTTTTCAATCTGCCAAGAAGATGAATATTCAACCTTTATTTTAACCATGTCATTATTGATAGAAACAATCTAAATGTATCATCAGTATATCCACCATAATGATTGTGTTTTTAATTTTGATACCACAGGGTAAACTTGTAATTTAGTACAATATGAACTTTCTCTGAACAAATTATAACCTTGCCTAAAAAGATGGACATTCCAGTCTTATACCTGTATGTTACAAGACTGTTGTTGGTAGAAACAAAGACAGATATCAAATTAGCTTTCCAGGGTTTTCACTGTATTTAAACAAAATTTGTTTAACTCTTTTTTAAAGTAAATGTGTGACCTTGACCTTACAGGTAACAAGTTACATGCAAAAGAACATTTGTAAAATATATATAAACATGCAAAATTCTAAAGAAATCATGCAATCCTTATTCACAATGTATCCACTGAAAATCAGACTGTTATTTTGATAGTAAAAAGTATATTTCATGAAAAGTAAAATCCAACTTATTGAAGGATCTATAAGCATGATAAGAAAACAGTATTTATTCAACTGACAAAGCAGATCATCTGTGTTTTAAACAATGAGAGCAACACTAACAGAAGTGTAGTACAGTGTATTCTAGTTTTAAACCCATCTACCTTGCATGTAAAATTTATGAAAGGAGAAAATCCTTCCATGTGCAATGTATATATAATGTCACCACTGTCACAACATATCACAAACTACATAAGCAATTGCACATGTATAAGTATCATACAGAATGTCCAGGCATGTAATAAAGTTTTCAGTCATTCAAGTTGTTAAAACAAGTTGTGAACAAAAACCTGCCGAAATTATTATAGTCTTGTGTACATGTTCTCCCTATGAACTTTTACCATCATGGTAATGTAATGCCATCTTAAATGATTTTTGTATACATTATGGTATGGATGTGATATTATAATTTCTACTAACAAGATGATATTTTGCTCTTTACTCTTAGGATGCTATTTGAAATTTGTTATAAGGCAGCATGATAGGACCAAAAAAATATGCTTTAAACATATCAAAAAGTACCAAGTAACTGCACTAGCCATCTAGATTACATCCACTTGTACTTTTTCCATTAGCAAAAAAAAAACAAAAACAAACAAGCATTCTGAGAGTATTGCATGGCAACACATAGTCCCCTACCAGTTAAGAATTCATTGTACTGGAACAAAATGCTAATTTGATCTATAACTTGTCATGTAAACTATATAACAAATATCAAGTCAATTTCTTCAAGCATGACGAAAAAAAGTGTGGAAAACTGATTATTTGAGTCCAAAGACCATAACTCTGCACAATATCATCAGACCAGAACAAAATTCGAACTTGATCTGTATCATGATAAAACTATATACCAATTATCAAATCAATACCTTCAAGCATGACAAAAATAAGTGCAGAAAACTGATTATTTGAGTGAATTTTCTAAGTCCAAGGACCAAAACTCTGCTCAAAATGATCAGACCGGAACATAAATATAACTTGATCTGTAACTTGACATGATAACTCTATATACCAAATTACAAATCAATATCTTCAAGCACGAAGAAAAAAAGTGTGGAAAACTGATTTGCTGGACTGATGGATAAGACAGACAGACAGACAGAAAGAGTGCAAACCTAAAGTCCCCTTCGACGGGAGGTCGGTAGGGGACTAAAAAAAAACAGCAAACCACTCCCTTAAAAAATAGAACATTAAATGATATGTTTTAAATTTCATTAAATATAAAAGTGTCCAGTAAATCGGAGTGAAATGCAATATTACCATGGTAAATCAGCAGATTTAATAACTGGCTAACAAGCCATTAGTGCCAAAATATAATAATATGAACAAATATAGGTTTGAGTCTCTCATAGAGGACATATGTCTCCTATATTTCCTGTTTGGCTATTGGCAACAACAAAAATAAATACTTATAATCAGATTGAGTATAACTGCACATCCTCTCTTCCTGCAGAACAATCTGTGGAGGTTTGGTTCTGTTGTGTAGCCTAGATAATCATTTGATGTTCATGATGTTTGTCCTTCCACCTCTTGAACTATATGATAACCTCATTTGGCAATGAGAAACCCCAGAAATCAAACCAATATTGACAATAAAAAGTTAAAACTGAGGTTGAAAAATGTCATTTCCTGCAGAAGAGTCTGTATAAGTATCAAGTACGATTCGTTTTGGTCAAATTAAATGTCTCAGAAGAGTTGCAGATAAATAGTATGTGACCCCTTCTGATTTCCATTGAAAAATCAAGTTTGACAAAGGGAGACTGAGATATGGACATTGTATAACTACATTGTATTGAAATATGGTACATATTTCTTTTAAATTCTGTTACGGTAATAATATTTAGGCGGATTGGGTGTATAAATAGGAAGAAATGCAGATTAACAAATGTGTACATGTGTTGAGAATAGACAAAAATCTAATAATCAGAAAATTGTGTAGAGAATTGTGATAGTCATTGTTAAACGTGGACTTTCAGGCGGATTCATAAATTTTGCCTTTCAACTGACCAAACTAGGCACTCCTGAAAACAAAGAGTTGTAAGGGTTTTTACTTCTTAAAACCTTTGGGATTCTGATATAACGTGCCCTGTCCATCAGCAAAAGACTCCTTGTTTTACAGACTTCACCCTGTTCTGTCATCAAACATTTCCATTGCTACCATTAATTTACTTCAAATACTATACAGCTTTCTCTTAAAACTTTGCTGCAGTTACAAACAATGTATGTACTACAACTTACAACTGCACTCTTAATGTGTAAGGTGGTTTGGTTGATTTGTAAGCAGTTTTTTGGCAGTGAAAATATCTCATCACAGACAACTGTGTATGATGCTTCTGTGCTCCAAATAAAAATACTCATGAAACAAACTGATCTAAACCAACAAAGAAATTCCTGTTTTCTCATCAGACATAAAAATAGGAGGATAAATAGCAAAAAATAGCATAAATTGATGTAGCAGTAATACCACACATCAAAAGATGTTAATCTGATGCAGATCTGCTTCACCAATTCATACCTGCCAACTTTCATCAAATTATAAATCAGTTTTGTAAAAGACTTATCTCTATGTAATTTTTTTTAACATTTGGGGATGATTTTTTTTTTGCAAAGAGATGTGCATTCAAAACATTCCTTCATCAGATATCCTTGTTGAAATAATCAGCATATTTCTTGTAGATTTGGAAACCTAAATGCTTATCTTGCTTAACTTTTGATTAATAAGGAACTGTACATTACTTGACATCTGCACTTATTGAGTGTCCAACTTTATCAGGTTTTAGACTCAGCTTCCATAATCTTAATCTACATGCTTTTACTACTTACTGTTTTAGATTCAAAAAGTCTGACAAGGTTTCTGACTGAATTTCTCCCTCCATTACGAACCATAGAAACTAAACTGTGTTCCCTTTTTTTAGGAATGTTTTCCTTGTTTGAGACTGTCACCTCTGACTTTGACCGTCTCTCCCGACCACTCCGACTCCTGAATCTGCTTCTAGATTCTCTAGTTTTACATGGTTTGTCATCTTCCACAAATCCTACTTTCTTATTAGACTTGTTCGACTTGCTTGATTTGGTAGACATTTTCAAAGAAAAATTTTCCCACTATGAGTGACAATCTGTTTATGATATCTGCACAAATACTGATTTTTAAACAGATAGTTCACATAACTGTAAACCATAAACTGAATCTGTTCATATGAAATTCTCATCAAATGATATAAAAAATATCTTCCTTAATATGAAAATCCTACAATTTCATAACACCAAGTCCTAGGAGTCAACAAGATTGACAACTAATAAGGAGCAATTATATCTACCACTTTAAAATCCACTTGTTTTTCCCAAATATAATTATGAAGACACAAATATTTCTTTTTAGTAACGCCTAGATCAGTTATGCTGGAATTTCACTTTTCACAACTGTTTCACTTATTAGTTTTCTTTCATTTCTTTTGTAATGTAACCTGATTGTTACAAACTAGATAAAAGTGTTTGAAGTAATCAATCATTCATAAAATTCTGTTGTATTTTATATATTACACCTTTAGACAGTCAATATATATTTATATTGGTTTGATTTTATCATACTTATGTTTCAATTATTCATGTCAAAATTAACTTGAATTTTTCACTAAATATTTCTTTCTTATATACTAAACTTTTATGGTTTAATTACCTATTGATGAAATAATTTCCCCCATATAATTATACATGCATATGTTATGCACTTTTTCAAGTAGAAAATATCAGCAACACTCATAATAAATATATAATATGAAGTGTTCACTCTTTGAACTTTTTTAGCTATCACAACATATATAGGTTCCATCAAATATCTTTTCAAGGGAAAAATTGTCCAAATTGAAAGAAGGTTCCATGCTTTCATAAGATATTCCTGGAATGAATTTATAGTCACTTGTATAGTTCATCAATTGATTTCACATTCATCATGTTAACGAGCATCCTTAATCCACATACTAACTAATTAATAATCGTTTGTAATGGTACATATGTCTTTTTTATACATATGCTACCTTGAAGGCTCTTTTCAAGTCAATGATTCTGACATATATATATTTCCATTCAAGTAATGTTGATTTCCTGATCAATTTCTATAACATGAATTTTGTCAATACCAATTAATTCTAAACCATGTGCTCAATTTTCATGTTCAATAATTTTAACAAAAGGAGCTATTTAACACTAAATAAAACGGTATACTTCACAATGAGATCCAAGTAAGAAAGTCATTAGCCTTCCTGCAATTGTGATGGAAATTTCAGTTTTTTTCTCACACAATCTCAACTATTGGTAATCTAATTCCAAGTTAATTGAAAAATTTCAACATCACTACTCTAAAATCTCTAAGCAGACTCAGTTTTCTATTTAAAAAGTGAATACACAACAAATAAGAACAAGATCCTTATCATTAGATGAAATTGTTACAATATTAGGAAATACCGTGACAATAACAAAGCTTTCTGATAGATCACCTTTCATTTAATCTCATTAAAATGATGAATACTAGATTCCAAGTATGATCTTCTATTCAATAAAACAATATTCACCAAGCAAACTATCTCTTTTCCATTTGTCAAATTTCCAAGTCCTGAAGTTTTTTTATCAAGAAAGCAAATGAAAATTGCCATTGAAGTGTTCCTCTTGTTTGAAATTCCACCTGTTATCACATGTATATATATTGATTAAAATGTAACTATCTATCTCTCCATCTTTCTGCATTGAAGGAATTTTTATTTAACATGCTAACACTTTTTAACAAATTGATATCTTAATGACTTTAAGGTTACTACACAAATTCAAATTACAGCATAAAAAGATCATTTCACTAGGCTTCTGATGTATATTTTACCATCCAGGTGATCTGAAAATGATCTAAGCTGCCAAAAGGTTAACTGCATATCATCCTATGATGTAAATTTCACCACTTCCTGTGTATACAATACATGAAATTGAGCTTCTTAGATCTTCCACAAGGGTTTCAATGATTATGACTGACCATATGATATCCTAATTATCTTATAAACACTTTCTTCTGGTACCTGTTAGAAGGTAAAATACTTCACAAAAAAACATCAAAATTGTTTAGAATTATCTGCAAAGACTTGTCCAAACATGCAGAAATAGTTCCTCTTTAGTTTCAAAACGTGTTCCAAAACCAAGGCACCGTTTCTAAACTTCCTTGTTTTAGACAAATATTTAAACAAATTTTATAATTCTATTTCCTTTACATAAATTATTACTTCTCATAAATATTATGGCATCAATTTAGATTATTCTATTTTAAATACAAACTTCCAACCTTGACTATACAAATATATAACAAGACCATTCCTACTTTTCCTTAGTGATCAACACAATAAAATATTAAAATGTAAATCCCAACAGAAAATATGTATGATAAATGGATAAATTGGTTAAGACCATCTACAGGTAAGAAATGGTGTCATATTGTGTATTACATCACTAAATAATAATTTACTTTATTTGTCATAATTCTTTTGAATTCATGTACATGTACTTGAAGTTCAAATGTTTCAATATGCATTTCCCCTGTTGAAGCCTCAGGACACAAAATAGAATCCTCTTATTTGAACAGATTAAAATACCATTGCCCTATTTACAAATCAATATAGAAATTTCAATATGTTCCACAGATCATTCTACAAATGAGTTATCAATGTGTATATTACAATACTATTTTATATTGTGCAGAAAAGATTGCAAAATGCATAATTGATCATTCTATCAATAAACTGCTGTAAGGACATATAAATTTAAATGTTTTTCATATCAAAAATTTTTGTCTTGCAATATATAAACATTTTTTAAAAGCTTTCCCATTTTTACTACCCTCCATTGTCAAGTCATTGATTAAAACAAGTGTATCTAAACAATATTCTATCTCAGGTCAGAGAAAGTAGAAAATTATTGATGAAACCACAAAAACCTCATTGATTTGCAGTACATTAACATTTAAATATCCATCACCATTCCAATTGGAATGATACCAACATTTTCAAGGTCGAGAATAAGTGATGATATAATTTTTCATGATACTCATAAATTTAAATATATATATGAACAAAACAATAATCAATTTATTAAAGGCAAATGTTCCAGTTTTTGGTATATGTACAACATGTAATATTAATTAGAAAATAACTACAAGGGTAAATCTATTATCAGTTCTACATGCAGTGCTGAGGTGAAACCTTACCATCTAATACTGCAAATATCATAAAATCTCAGACATGTATACATATGTATATATATATATATATATATATATATGTATAAGTTTTTATGATCCATACTGCCTTTCATGCATCATTACGTTTAGGTTCTAAGAAGATGGTCACACGTATTGGGTATCTACTGTTCTGGCCATGGTCTGATATTAAAAACCGTTTTGAAATTCCATTAAAAAAACTTTAGTATTTGTTTTCAATATCCAGACTGTTTGTTTACTGTACTTCACCTAAATGTGTATACCAAATAGAACTTGAGAAACACATATATTGATTATTCCATGATATGATTGACAGCCATCCCAAACCAAACTGCATACTTGCAGAATGATTGTCACAAGATTGCTGCATACTCAAAGATGTATGTCCATGAGATAGCAACTTATACAATTGCACAAAACCATGAGAAATCCAGACAGAAAAATTTCAAACCTAAAAAAACCTCTGTAGAAGATACAGATTAAAGTACCATTTGCAATATAAAACTTTATCCAAATACAGATGCCAAAACTGGATAAGCAAAGAAGCCACTTTTCTCAAGACAAGAAAAACGCTCTTTGGCATTAAGGGATTAAAATATACTCCCTAAATTATCTGTTTACAATTCAAATGCTCATGAACCATGGAACTTACAAAAATGAAATTATTTCACCTGATTTTTAGGGAAGAAATGTGCTGCCCATGTATGTCAGTGGTTCAAGTCTGCAATCTCAGAATTGCTATAAAACAGTCTTATTTGGAATTGAATTCAAATTCAGTGTTTATAAATTGGTTTATAATTGTACATGTACTAAGTAAAACATGTAAGAATTTACCTTATTTTGATCAATACATTATACATATATAAATTTACACAAGCAAGCTGTTGTGCATACTTAGACTGTGACAGAAGGAATAATACATTGTATGACTTTGTTATGACGTTGTTACTAAGGCAATAAAATATAAAAAAAAAATCTTTTAAAAAGTATTGACCATTTACAAACTACAACATGTGCATGAATTCATCATATTGTTTAATCAATAATCAATAAAGACAAAAACTAGCTTGTGTAACTGTCAAATGATGAAGCTTCGACACAGAGGATGACTCATGTTAAATGTACAGTGTTAAGAACACATGTACAGTAGGCATGCTTGTAACTGTAATTGAGGGATCAGTAACAGCAATTGTTAACCAGATGTGTGGTTACATCATGTTTGCCCAACTAGAACTAAATGCAAACTCAATCTGAAAGTCATCATTATACTCTAAGACTAATTTACAACAAGAGTGCACACACTGAAATGTCTTGTCTGTTTTACTTATCATTAAATTTATGTTGAAAGTCTGTAATATGATGGTTTTACTACAAGTATCAAATAAACTTAACATTGACTAATGAACCATGAGAATGAGGTCAAGGTCATATGAACCCTGCCAGACAATCATGTAGACCTTACAATAATTCCATACACCAAATATAGTTGACTTATTGCTAATAGTATCTGATAAAACTGACAAAATTATAAAATTCATAATTGACTAATGAACCATGAAAATGAGGTCAAGGTCATATGAACAATCAACCCTGCCAGACAGACATGTACATCTCACAATTATTCCATAAACTAAATATAACTGACCTATTGCTTAATATCTGCGAAATAGGCCAAACCACTATTTAAATTAACAAGAGTGCACAGGCTGAAATGTCTCGCCTACTATACTGACCATTGATTTTATGTTGATAGTCCTACATTTAAAGTTTTACTACAAGTATCATATTAACATTTATGATCCAAGAAAATGGTCAAGGTCAGATAAACCAAGCCGGAAATACATGTACACCTTTTATACAACCATTCCATACACTTAATATAGATGACCTATTGCTTATAGTATAAAAGAAACAGACCCAACCATGGAAATTCTATTGACCAATGAACCATGAAAATGAAGTCTAGGTCAGATGAACCCTGCCAGACAGACATGCATACCTTAAAATCATTCCATGCATCAAATATATTTGACCTATTGCTTATAGTATCTAAGAAACAAAGTTAACCAGGAAAACAGAACATTGACCATTGAACCATGAAAATGAGGTGAAGGTCAGATGATACCTGCACGACAGACATATACACCTTACAATCATTCCATACACCAAACATAGTTGACCTATTGCTTAAAGTTTAAGAAAAACAGACCAGTTCTC